ATCCCGTTGACGGGTGATTGCTGATGGCAAAAAGATCGATAGAACTGCTGAGATACATGCAAAGCGAAGGACCCGGATGGTGTAGTGGTGAAGTGCGCTGCTCCCCGGTAAGGACAACAGCGCGTGTTCGTTCCCCACTGCATACACCTGTGGTCCAAGGTTTTGCAAATATCTCAGCACTTCATACGAGTTATATTTCACAACATACCCTGCCATTAAGAAGAAAAAGGCAGTAAATAAAAGAGTTAAGATTAAAAGATTATGTCCAGAAGGTGAAAGGAGCTGAGGAAAGCCAAGGCGCCGAAAGGTTAGCCACAACAAAGATCTGCTAGCAACCCCGTGTAAGCCCATGAATACAAGAACTTGTTGTTCATTAGTATGCAGATTAACACTTAGTGTTCGACGTGTGTCGATTTCCACTTACACGATAAAGAAGCAATCGTCGCTTTCAACTTTAAACCAACATATCTCAGCTCGGAATGAACTTCATTACCTGAAATAATAAGTGTTAGGACCTACTGATCTTTGCCAGTAGCCTACAAAGTCCCTTCTACTAAGATGGGAACCTGAACCTTCTATGAACCCTAGAAATCATACTTCTATCACTTTTTTTCCTTCGGGGCTTGTATTTTGAAGTTGATAGCAATTGAACAAGCGGATATCCCTTACACGTTACCGTCCCAAATGTGTTGACATTCATGGTTAGGGAGGAGGGTTTCCCTCGGAAATTTAAAAATTTACATCTTGTTTTTTCCCTTGGAAGTTTTAATTTTAAACAACTCTGAAAGAAGAATAACAGTTTTCGCAAACCATGCTCACTCTAAAACTGATCCAGCAAATTCTGTTCCATAAGTCGATCATGTTTGCAACTCCTCAAGTATTCGAGTTACCGAAAAATTATCAGCGGTTAGAGGAGAACCAACTTCGGATCCAAAACGGTTGATGAGAACTGATCCGAAAAGAAGTGAAAAATCAAACATATGAAGGGGTTCGGTTCCACTTGCGAAGGCAGTTGCGAAATCTCTGCAGAGGGAGGGGGAGGGTACACAAAGGAGCGTCTCCGCGCCTTCGCTTATCCAAATGGTGCGGGTGTTTGGGGACATCTGTTCTGCTTTGTTTTTGATCACAAAGTATAAATGAGTGTTCGTTGATTGTCGTCTGGTCTCCTTTCCGCCTTTAAAATCCTTAAAAAGATTTCTAGCACATTTTAGTAAATGCACAATGAAACCATCCCTTTTAACGTTTCACTTTGCCGAGTTTTTGTTGATATTTACATTCTCAGCTGATTTCGGCGTCAAATTCTTTCAGGAACTGTGCCCGTGATCTGCTTTAAATCAATATTGGTTGTGTTTAATATAATGGATATAAACTATCTGGTGGAGCAGTGGGAAAAGCGAGGTATGTGAAGAGTTTTGTGTCAAACATATAGTCGTTGTAGTTCGCCAGTTCGGTTCCAGGACTTCTTCTACACGATCATCAAAAGGAAGGTGTCGAAGAGATGTATAGCTGGTATAAAGCTGGTCATGGAGGAATTAATGGCGACGAAATGGGCTTGGGGAAGACCTGTCAGGTAGACGACTGCTTGTGTTGCG